TTTATCTTCCCCCATCTTCTCAGACACAAAGGCGAACCAACGAGCTCCAGCGAAAGATTTTTTCAACGTCAACAGGGTTGCCAGTAAACAGCAATCGCGCCAAAAACCAGCAGAATAAATCGCCACTTTGGTGAAAGTCGGGTATTAGAGTTGTACCATTTTTTTTTTAAGGACGAAGTGAAAAATTTCAGCCTGTAGTGCTAAAGAGGATATATGCAACTGCATGAGAGATTCTATGACCTTCTTAAGGCATTTGCATGAAAAATATTTTCTGCCCCTTAGACATCATACTTGTTTTCACATCTTCTAAAGAAAACATCGAACAAAGTTTGTTTTAAAAAAAAACTGAGGTGTTACAACTTAATTCTAGTTTTTGAACCCACATTTTAGCCAAAATGTGTAAAAGAAAAAAAAAAAAAAAAAATTCATTCCCATATATTCGTACATAAAATTTTACTCACACAAAAAACTTTTAAAATTTTTAATTTATATCAGATAACATAATTGTAAAAAAACGTTTTGCACACAATTCATTAATTCTAAAAGAATCTGAATTACTTACTTGTATTTTTCAGTACCAAAAAACATTGATGAAAATCAAATACCCCAACTAAGGCAATATTTACTTTCCAATATACAGTACAAAGTCCGTAATCCGGACTCGTCAGGACTTCGGCGATTCCGGATTAGGGTTTTTTCCGGATTATAGATCATCAATTTAAACCTGGCAAGATGGCATGCAGAAATTATACAATTAAAAATATGAAACAGTAACTTATGAAATAAAGAGCAATTATGATCTAAAGGGTATCAAATTTTTCCAAAAAAAGCTTAATATTAATTTTTTTACTTTATTAAACATTTCTTTCAACGTGTGCATGCGTAGAGAATACATTACGTGAATGCATAATGCGCGCAATGCATTCGCGCACATTCTTTATGCGTATGCGTAAAGCATACAAAAAACGTTTGTAGCCTTTGAGGTCCGGATTATAGATCCTTCTAGATAATGGACTTCCAGATTACGGACTTTGTACTGTATATTACTAGATACAGCAGGTGTTAAATTTTGGATTCTTTTTTATTATTATTTAATTTTTTAATATATTTAGCCTAAATATGCAAGCCAAAACCAAACTGTACAATGTAAACTTATCAACCAAAAAGTTAAAAATATAACATAATGAATTATGAAGCATTTATGAATACTCTGAGTGTAATATTGGCGTAATTAACTCAAAATTTACACACACACAAAGTTAATATTTATTTAGTTACTTTGTTAAATACTTTTTCAATGTAAATTATTTAAGTTGCTTTAGTTTTTGGGCTGAAAATGTACGGAGTAATAAAATTCTACATACAGATAAAAAAATTTTTCAGTTACTAAGTTCCAATCTTTTAAGTCCTGTAAAATAGATATATCGAGAATTTTTATTAAATTGACAATTTAAATTTTTTTATTCTCAACAACCTGTATTCTCTGTTGGTTGCAATATTTTCTGGATTTTACAGATTTCAGAATTTGATAGTTTATTAATGATTGGGGAACTCTGATGGCAATGAAAAACTTCTCTTATACCATTTTCATTTATTACAACTTCTCCACATTTATTCAAAAATTTTATGAAATGGAAAATTTCGCTTTTTTGCTATATCTGAAAAACTTTCAAATAATTTGCGGCTGTCATCATAAAACTTAGCTAAAATAACCTATATACTATTGATGATGTATCATGAGATTGGCAGGCACCTAAAGATATGTTGTTCTGCTAAATTTTGTCATGTTTCTATTACACATAAGTTAAGCTCAAATTATATTAGTTTAATTATTTATTACACATAAGTCTATTTTCCACACATGCTTAATAAACCTTATACAGGGCCGATATGGCCTGGTGCAGCCTTTACAGCTCCAAAATTCTACTGCAAAGCCCCTCCCCTAAATTTTGCATCCCAGTGCCTTCCCTGAATTCGAAAGATAATTTTATTGCTCAGTGCTTCTCTTAACTTCTAAATCCTACCACTTAGTGAAACTGCACAAGCTCTAACACAGGTCCTGGGCTTATTCGAATAACACATTGGTTATTCTTAATTCAAAAGCACTAAATACAATCTTTTAGCCTATGAGTATCATTTACAAAATTTACTTTTTGGATCTAGAAAGAAATTTTCATTTAGTTTCTTTTTATCAATACACACAATGCTTTGAGTAATATTATTAAAGGAAGCAAAAAACACGGTATTAGTAATCACAAAAGCACGTAAATCTATAATTTATTACAGATTTATAAATTTGGTAAACAAGTTAAATTTTTTATAACAGTATCAAATGTTATTGTTACATCATAAAACACCACAGAAGAAAAAATAAATTCAATATTAATATATGGCATTAGACGCACTGGTATTCTCCTATTTGCACCTGCCATGCATTTTGATGATACTATTGTAATTACATGTGTGAATGCTTTTAATTATTCTTGTTTACACACACACACACATATACACACTCCTGGTATGATCCTACAGATGATGATTTTGGCATGTGTTCAGTGCCAGAAACTACGGTAAGTGCATAATGGAAAAGTACCAAAGCATTGGAACAGATTGTTAAAGAAAAGTTGCATATAGTTGTGAAGTTGACAAAAGTTAAAAAACATCACAAAGTGCTAAAAATCTATGAAAAGTTGCTGAAAGTTGAAATTGCATTTTGATGGACTTGTTAGGCTTAAAAGTGTAAAACGTAAACAAAAAAACTTCAATGAGAAAACAAGTGCGCTTACCATTCGAAAAAGGGAAGACAAGGTTTAAAAAGTTAGTAAAAATCTAAAATTTTAATTTTTAAGAAAAAGCACAAAAAATAAGTAAAATAACCTAACAAAATTATAAAAACTTTTAAAAGGGTCGCCATACAAAATAACTAAATCTCTCCAAAACTGTACGATTACCATGCTAGATAAAAAATTGACAAATCTGGCAGATGGTACATCTCTACTGAAGTATTTCTTGTTAGAAAACTTCTGAAAAACTGTATAAAAATTACAAATGAGGCACATTATCAATTACATAATTCAGAGATACTAACAAGATTTGGTGACCATCTCTCTTTTCAAATAATTTCACTGAAGTCTGAAATTAAACTGGATAATTCATATTTTTAGGTCATAATAAAGATTACTACACTCAAGCAAACATACATATAACATAAGCAAGCAACATGTGCATACAACATAAACAAAATTTTAAACAAATTATCATTTAAATACATAGGTAAGTTGAAAAATAAGTTTCCCCTGTCGACTGTGGTCAGAGTTGTGTACGAAAGTCAAAAAATAGAATGAGACATACCTTTATTTTCCACATATATAGATGTGGTTATATATATATAGATGTGGTTATAGATGTGGTTCCACATATATAGACCACACAAGATATGACATACCTTTATTTTCCACATAGGTACCAAGTACAGTCAAAAGTCATTAATTCGGACACCCATAATCCGGACCTCAAAGCTAAAAACTTTCTGCGCATGCGCCGCGTTGACACATGCGCATAAGATCTTTACGACTGCGCATGCGTGTGCGCAAAATATATTTTCGCGTGCGCGTTTTATGTATAACAGACGGTATAAGCTAAAATTATCTAATTATCTCTTTCAATTAATGTTGATGATTGTGTTGTTCCTTAATCTTCGAATTGGATCCAGCTTATTATTTTTTGCAGACTGTAAGAGCAATTTTATGAAAGTAAACTTGAACTTTCGATTATGTCAAATAGAATTTCCGATGCTGGAACTTCCAAAGGATCTACAAAACGAAAGTATGTTTCGATGTCCAATAAACAAAAAGTGGAATTGCTGCAAAAAATGGATAAAGACATGAAGAATGTGACAGAGAGGTTAGTGAAAACGAAAAAATTTCGATTGACAAGTTAGTCGGTATTCTCGGCACAGCAATTAACGGGACTTGAACAGAGGAACTTTGTAACTGAACAAGAAATTATGTCTGTTTATAGAATTAAAGAGAAAGTATTATCACATAAAATGAAGCAACTTAAGCAACTTACATTGAAAGAAATGTTTAATAAAGTAAACAAATAAATTAAGCTTTTTTTTTTTTTTTTTTTTGTAAATTTTGATACCCTTTAGATCATAATTGTTCTTTATTTATTTCATAAATTACGGTTTCATATTTTTAATTTTAGAATTTCTGCATGCCATCTTACGAGATTTAAACTGATGATCTCTAATCCGGAATCGCCGAAGTCCCGACGAGTCCGGATTAACGACTTTGATGTACATTGAGATTGCATCGTATAGTCAAAAGACTCAGAAAAATCAGGGCTTTGCATATGGAAACATCCGTCATCACCTGTCCGAAAGAAGTTCAAGACAACTCCCTCTGCAGGTAAAGTGCTCCTCACAGTTTTCTGGGACGCCCAAGGAGTTTTGTTGCTGGACTTTTTGGAGGTTGGAACCATCAATGCTACGCGCTACTGTGACACCCTGTCGAAATTGAAAGAGGCGATTCGGAAAAAGCGGCCTGGCCTTCTCACATCTGGCGTTCTGCTGTTGGATGACAATGCCAGACCACATTCGGCGACGGCAACGCAAAACCATATTGCAACTCTTGGTTGGGAGCGCCTACACCATCCGCCATACAGTCCTGATCTCGCACCAAGCGACTTCCATCTGTTTCCGGCTTTGAAGAAAAATCTCGGGGGAAGGCGCTTTGGAAGCAATACTGAAGTGAAACAAGCCGTTCAACGCTTCTTCCATATGCAAAGCCCTGATTTTTTCCTGGAGGGCTTTTTGAAGCTTATCAAGCGATATGACAAATGTCTCAATGTACTTGGTAATTATGTGGAAAAATAAAGGTATGTAATATCTTTAATGTCTCATTCTATTTTTTGACTTTCATACACAACTCTAACCACAGTCGACAGGAGAAACTTATTTTTCAACTTACCCTCGTATATTGCATTAATTCATAAATTATATCAATATATAAGTTCTAAAATGCAAAAATTTATGCAATAAAAAAATGAAACCTTAACACTCCAAAATACATAATATATGGAGTTAGAAACTTTTTTTTATTAATTACGTTAATGCTGCAAATTTTCTTTCCAGTTTCTACAACTGGATAGACTATAAATTATGTGTGTTTTAAATTCTATCAGCTTAAGAAATAAATGAAAAGTGAAATAAATATTTAAAATAAAAATGTGCATTTACTTTCAGATTGTTCGGTTTCGGAGCAGTAATTTATATTACACTGGAAATAATCCATTAAAGACACATGGGAAATAAAAAGTTATAGAAGTTATATTCTGCATAATGGCAGTACTTGGCATTTGTATGGGTGATTCATGAACTGTAATGTAACATAAAAGTACAAAAGCAAAAAAACTTAATAGCCTACTATAAACATTTTCTAATTTAAAAATTACAATCCAATCAATGAGAAGTAAAAGTAAATAGCAAATTAATAAATGAAACACAAATTACAATGATTACTAGTGAAAATTTTTATCTGATTAACAAACTGAACTATTGGATTCAATAAATTAAAAAAATCTAATTCTTAGATTTAATATACAGTAATTTTAAAATCAGAGGAAAATGTTTAACAAAATATCGTAAATTTGAAATAAGGGAAAAACTATTACATCAATTAAGAATTGCTACTAATATTTACCTAAATAAGAAGAATAATATAAATTGCTATTACGAATTTGTTGTCATCTATCACATGGTACTTTTAGTATTTTATCTTCGGTACATATTTTGTTTCCTGTACAATAAGAAAGATGTTAAACATAATAACTAAATTCAGATGCCTAATAATCCTGTGCTGTAAAAATAAAGCAAATTAAATGTATAAATACTTGTAAACTTCACTTGCCTCTAGATTAAATGGAATGAAATAACTTTGTTAAAAAAAAAAAATTAAGGAAAATGGCATAAACTGTTGGAAAGTCATATCAATATCACCTCACAAATCTAATAATTTTAATGATATATATACATACACATATACTTATACAAAACCTATTAATTTTATATATGTAAAAAATCAAAATCAAGTATATATGTATTAAATATAACAGCTAAAAGCAAAGTACATTTGAAAGTCCTTGTGGGGAGGTTTCAGATACTTGGGATAACATTAGTAGTTTTAGATTTATGAAACTTTTAAGCAATATAAAAATAAAATATAAACAAAATTCATGTTTACTTAAGAACGTACCAATTTTCACAGCATCCTGAAAGTTGAAAATAGTGATCTGTACACTCAGCCAATATTCCATTTATAAAAATAAATTATTTTTTGTAGGAACTATGTCCTTCGAAAATCAATTTAACTAAAAAGAAAAAGTTCAAAAGCAAAGTTGTGCATTTCACAGTTTTTCAAGGAAATTCTTTCTTACAATTCTCAAGCCTGTTAAAGAAAGATATGGAAATGCTGGACATTGTTCTTGAGTCTTGTGAAGTTAGAATACTGATAACAACCAACCCTTACTTAAAATTCACGCTGGCAGGAAAACATATCAATGGTTCGAAAAATTACATACCTTAAGTAACGAGATTTCTTTGTTGCCACAGAACATAATACATTAGTAAGTAAAGGTTCTAACTAATCTAACATTTCTTGAAAAGACAAGAGGCTTTTACTCTGTGAAGATAAACATATATTTCTTCAAATTCTCTGTCAGAATGAATTGTTATGTACATAATTCACAAGATTTCCCTCAAATGTGGATACACATATTGTCACTTGAATTAACATTAAAAATGAAATTTTACGTGGAAATTTTCTCTACTGTAATAAGAGTAAGTAATGACTTTTATAACAGATCAGATGTTTCTCCTGTGTGAAGAAGTATATGTGTATTTAGATTACTTCTTTGATTAAATGACTTATTACATACTTTACACTTATGAGGTTTCTCTCCTGTGTGAATACGCATATGCGTACTTATGTACTCCTTTCGAGTAAATGATTTGTTACATACCTCACACACATGTGGTTTTTCTTTTGTATGACTAAGCATATGTTTATTTAAACTACTCTTTTGATTAAATGACTTATTACATACTTTACACACATAAGGTTTCTCTCCTGTGTGAATATGCATATGCATATTTAAATTTTCCTTCTGGCTAAATGCCTTGTTACACACCTCACATACATGAGGTTTCTTTCCTGTATGAACAAGCATATGCTTGCTTAAAGCTCTAAGTACTCTAAATGACTTGCGACATACTTCACACACATGAGGTTTCTCTCCTGTATGAATAAGTACATGTTCCTTTAAAATACGTTTTCGATTAAATGCTTTGTTACAAAATTCACACACATATGGTTTCTCTACTGTGTGAACAAGCATGTGCTCCTTTAAACCACTTCTCATATAAAATGACTTGCTACATACCTCACACACATGTGATCTCTCTCCTACATGAATAAGCACATGCTTGTATAAATTACTTTTCCGATTAAATGACTTCTTACATACTTCACACACATAATTTTTCTCTCCTGTGTGAATAAGCACGTGTTCATTTAACCTACCCTTACGATTGAATGACTTCTTACATACCCCACACACATGAGGTTTATCACCTGTGTGAATAAGCATATGTTTGTTTAAAATAGCCCTATAATTAAATGATTTACTAAAGACTTCACACATGATGTTCCTCTGCTATGTGATTAAGAATGTGCTTGTTAAATTATGCTTTAATTGTAAACCTCACACACAGGTAGTTTCCCTCTCTGGGTATGCATGACTTCTTTTAAAATACTGCTTTTTCCAAATGATTTGTAACATATATCCTAGAACATATTCTTCATAAGGCATTCATGTTCTGCATGGACATGTAATTGGTTGCTTAAATAAATTTTACCTGAAGTAGTTCTTGTATTCTTCGCACATCTTTTTGATATTTTCTGAAAGCACACATGTGATTATTGTCATAAAAGTATCAATACATACTGTAGATGAGACTTATGCAACCTGTGATATAAACAATTCTTGACTTCCTGGAACACTTAATTAAAAATTAATTTATCATATTTCACACAAATACAATTTCTTGCCTGGGTACATATATATAGCTAATTATGAATTTAGGCAATTATGTTTAATTATGATAACGATTAAATGAACTTTTAATATTTTTCTAGAATTGTTAGCTGGTGCTTAACAGTTTAAAGAAGTCACTCATTAAAAAGTGCTAAAGAGTTTCCACATTTCACCGTATAGAATCGAATCTGTTATAAGGGGAAAAAAAACAAACTTAATACTAATTTGTAACAAAAACAGCTCACTGCTCACTCCTTCCTTCAAAACTGTAATTACATAAATGAGAGATTTTCCGAAGTACTGGTAACCTGTGTTGCCATACATAAATTGCAATAAATACAATGCTAGAAGATGCTCAGTAAGAGAAAAGGTCCGTCTCGAAAACTCGAGGTTTGCACATATATGCGACGACAAACGCTGAGAGTTTACGGAAGTTAGCGGGTCTCACGTGAACGATGGCAACATTAAGAGATTACCGTAATTTGCGCCAAAAATGAAAAATGAACCCAAATGTAAATTTTGGAAGTAAGCAATACAGGTTTTCGCCATTTTGCTTGCACGTGCTACTGTGGTAGCAAGCTACGTAGTATTAGTGCTGATATTTTGTGTTTTAATTATCTTCTTTTAGTTATGAGTTTGTCTAAGCAATCTGAAAAGATGAAAATACTCATAATCGGGGATTCTATGATTAAATATTTACTAGAAGATTTGTCTGCGAATTTACCTGATTACGAAGTTCATTTTCGTTGCTTTCCAGGAGGTAGGATTGAAAGGTTGACACGTGAGATTGCCTTTATGAACAACCATTTTCATTTAGTTTTGGACCACGTTGGTACCAATAATTCAAATGACGATTTAGATGAAATTCATCATAAATATGGTTGTCTATATAAGGGAATTGAACGATTAAACCCGAAGGTCATTCTGTTTTCAGTGTTCTCCCACGATGCACGGATTTATATCGAGATTGTGACTCGTATCACCTACAAGAACTTAGATAAATTCAAGACTTCTCGCAACATACGAAGGTAAAGATGGGGTTTTCTTTTCCAGCTCTTTTGACTATTCTTGGAGTACTTGTTTATCCAGAGACGGTTTACACCTAAATCGGAGAGGTAATCAGCAGCTGGGAAAAATTTTGTAAAAGATATCAGAAGTTTGACTGTTGCAGAGGTAAGTGCACCATTTTGTTCTACTTCCCTTAGCAGTTTCCCAGCATTAACCAGTATTCCTTCTGTTCGGAGCACTCATTTGGATAGTAATTTTGGTGCTTCTATTTCCAAACCACTCTTTACAGGACGGTTATTCTACGCTACGAGAGTCGACAGCAAGTTGTGGGCCGCCAGATGTCGCTGCTAGTAAAACAGGTCTGCCCGACATCCTATATTCTCTGAGTACGGAAGTTGTCGAAAGCGCGTGAAAAAGTGTTGCCGCGCCGTCAATCAGGGTTGTGCAGTTGACGTACTAAGTAGACAATGGCTTTGTATGTGTTTTCGCTGCTGATTTTTTCATATTTAAACGAAGAATACGGTCGTATATCTCTGAATCAGTGGCGAATTTATAGAAAATATATTGATGCTTTTGCTCTGCCAAAAGATGTTTTCATTGCGTATTTCAGATTGCCAAAATTTATAGTTATTTTAATTTGCGATGAACTGAGAGAGTGTTTGGAGCCACATTCAGAAAACAAGAACGCAATTTCTACTGAAAGAAAAGTTATACTATTCCAGAAATTATAGATATAAATTGTAATTGTATGCTTTAAAAATGTAGAAGATGATAAGTTTATCAAGCACATAAACTTTCTTTATTTAACACAAATGTAGACATCCGATAAGCTTCTACTCAATTTATGTACAGCAAGAATTACGTTTACTTTAAAATCTAACAGTTGAATACCTTACCAATAATACTGTGAACACAAAAAGGAATGTCGTTCATTATTACGCGAAATTCACACTACTGTAAAATAAAAATTAAAAAAAAAAATTATAAAACTATAAAATAGCTTTATAATATCTTTTTCAGTAGCTGTACTACTACTAATGTGATACTTTCAAAAATAAGTTTTAGCTCAGAGGGGCTATTAATTATTAATTTCGTTTTGCCATTTTGTGGCGTTTCACTTTTCAAATCGTTGCCACCAAGTATTATCGCACTCTATTATATTTAAAGAAATTAAATAATGAGGAATCTGCAGAATGTATGAATGTTTCTCGCACAGTGATAAAACAACGCTACTTAGAGCCATGAAATTCTGAATAACGTAATCCTCCACCCTAATATAGGCATCTGGAGGCCCAAATTTGGAACTAAGAATTTGTTTTATTATCTATTTCATATTTTGTAAAGCATTTATGAGTTTTTGATTAAGAAACCCAACGAATTCAAAGCGAGCAATAGCAACATTGTACAGAAAAAAACATCTTCATCTCTAGCGCGGGAGATTATGTATCGGAAATTCTAAAGATATGCTTTTTTTAAATTATATGATATTGCTGTTGAATTGAATTTTATGGTTTAAGTGCGGAAAACATGATATTTAATAAATAAAGATAACACGCAAAACGTTAAATAATGGCCCTTTGGAAGTAATATAAAATCTGAAGGCTTTCAGATTTATTTATTTATTTTTTATTATTATTATTTTGTGTATAATTTTATTACGTTTTAAAACTGGTTTCTAAGTGAGGCCTTTCTAAGGGAAACTGGCTCGTATACAAGTTACACATGTGGAAAGCCACAAAAACGCCGGCTAGCTCGTTCCCGGGATTCAAACCTCGGACCAAACTACCTGCGTTCAGCGACTCTACCGCTCGGCAGCTGGTGGGCTTGCTAGTAGAATTATACTGCATTATTATTGTATTATGCTATAAAGTAACAATGCTATAAGACTGAGGGTTTATTCATGGAATAGTACTTTTGTAACCTATTATAGTATTAAAAAATCATTGTTTCTTTGCAAATTTAACAAAAAAAAAAAAAAAAAAAAAAAAAAATTACTGCTCATAGAATTCTTATTTTTATATTGTAAAAGAGATATTGATTATTATTAGTTTTCTATTTAAAATGTGTCGAAACGCTTGTTTCACAAGGACTTCAACTGCAAGAGACCTACACTGATTATTTTTACTTTAGTACTTACACTGTGAAAATATTAGTATATTTTAATTATTTTCACAGAATAAAATCTTTTGAGAAGGAAGAATATTTAAACTGAGCAGTTCTTATATATATAAAAAATTCAAGTAACAGCAATGTAATATTAAAAAAAAAGGTGTTAGTAATTGTGTGACAAAAATTGCAAAACGAATTAATCACACATACAGGATAGATTAGTTTAATTTTGGTTATATATTTTATATTGAAAAAATATTTTCTTTCATGTTAATTATAGAATAAATTATTTAAAATAAAGTATTTTGATGCGTGTGTGATAGTTGAATGCAGCAGCAATCGGCCATACTGTAATAGCGAATGAATTTTATTTCTTTTCCTGAAAGAAATAATTTTCATAGTAAAAGAAAATAAAAAAAAGGGAAGAAATATTAAGAAAGAAATATTTTCTTTCTAATTTATTATGTAAAGAAATATTTTTCCAATAGTAACTGTAAAATAAATTGCGGGAAAACAGTTTTAATGTAAGCATGGGGAAAAAAAAAAAAAAAAAAGGAAAAAAAAAAAAAAACTTAGTTTGCTATTAGATTGTAATGCAAATTAATCATATTATAAATTTAAATGATTAAAATTGTTTATTTCTAAAAGGATTTGAAGTAAGCTTAATTCATTTACTTCTTATCTATTTACCATTGCTTTTCGTGGTATCCCATATCACTCTTTATTTCTTAGCTCTAAATTCCTGAGTTAAGTTTCCCCTTAAAAAACGGAATTTTCCTTTACATAACACAGCAGCATATTCCGCTGCGTGTTGGTCATAATACTGTTTTGTGCAATTTTTTTCGAACTACAAATGCAGCGTGTGAGTTAGTGAAATAATGGGAGGATATTCCTAGAACTTCAGCCAGCGCGCGCTATAAATTTCGTCACTCGTCTGTACTGCGATTGGTTTAAAGCTCCTTGAAGCCTTGTCCCCTTTCAGTAAAGTTAAATGGACCCACCCGCCCACCAACTGAGGACCACAGAATGGCTTTCTCCGATAAGTTGTTGATAGCTGTCCATACCGGTTTCTTTGAGTCATATTGTTCGCTTAAGTTGTAGACAGATCCGTGACATAGAATAGCGCCGATTTGAAGTTTTTGTTTCGTTTGGGTTGTATCTAGAATCTTGAATTTGGTGTTGCGATATTTTCAAGTCGCGCAAGTTTTGCTCACGTATGCAGATTTTACCATGTTCTTCTAAACCGCTTTATTCAGATGTTTTAAAGCATGATTGTTTTACTAGCTCTGTTTTGAATACTAATCCCAGTATTCCGAGTTTATCAGATTTTCCACTTCTTGAATATTCACTTGGCACTAGTGTAAATTTTTTGGATCCACCTCCTAAGCCACTTTACTCAGATGTTTTAAAACATGGATTTTCTAGTACGATTTTGGATAGCAGTTCCAGTGTTTTGGATGTATTGGATTTTCCAGCTCTCGAATGTACTGTCCACACTACATCAGGTGTTTTAAATTCTACTGGATCTCAACTTCCTGATACTGCAGCTATTTCTGAACTTCCTGGAAATTCAGTGTCTAATTCTCAACCTGCAGGCTCTTCGGATTCCAATTCATCATCATCTCATCTTGGTATCAGTTTCAATTCTTGTACTTCCATGTCGAATTTTCCAGTTTTTAAGGGTTCATTTGTTTGCTCTGATTCAGATTTGCAGAAGGCTACTATATCTGTATCTAAATTTTCTTTTATGTCGTTAGTCACTTCTCAGCCTACTGGCTTTTGAGGCTCTGTTTCATCTACTCAGCTTGTTGTCACCAATTCCTTGTTGGTTCTTGTGCAATCAGTTTTTAATTCTTACCAATATTTTCATTTTTTAACAAGTTTTCTATTCTTAAAAATTATTCAGAATGTTCTAACATTAAGTTTGGGGGTGCAAATGATTCTAATCAGGGTGAAAGTAATGTACAGAAATCTGAAAATGGGTATGTTGAAGAAAACTGCAAAGTTATTACCTCTGTTAACCCAAATATAAAGACTATAATTTGTCCATGTTGTAAGAAAGATTTCTCTTGTAAAGAAACTTTATCAAGACACAAACGTAACTGTAAAATTTTAAATAAGGATAATTTATGTACTACCATAAAGAATGAAATAGAAAATAAATATCCAAGAACGTGCGAGGTATGCATGAAGTCATATGCTTCAAGACAGTCATTTTTTAATCATAAAAAAAGGTGTAAATCTGTGTCTTCTGAAATTGATTCAAAATCATATATTTGTGACAACTGTAAGATAGACT